ACCGCGGCTAAAAATAGGCCAGTGACACTTCACAGGCGGCGACGAGGAGGGGGGGGACACTCCGCATCGCTCCCCCCGCGCCCATCACCCCCCTCCCGCCCGGGATCCGGCCCCTCACCATGACGGTGGTGTCCTCCGAGGCGCTGGCGATGACGTTGTCGTTGTGGGGACACCAGTCGATGTCCAGCACGGGCGCCGTGTGTCCGGTCACCAGCGGGTGGTTCTTGTCCACCCGTCCTGTCTGCGGTGGGGAGGTGCAGGGGTGAGTCCCCCGGTGTCCCCCAAAGCCCAGCCCGGATATCACGGGGGGTTGTGGCAGGAATGGGGACACGCAGGGGATGCTGGCGGTGGCCAGAGGTTTTCACCTGCCTTGAAGGGGGAAACTGAGGCACGTAGGGACAGGGACACGGAGGGGAACGATGTGACCCATGAGAGGCTGTTTTGTGGCTGCTCTGATGGCAAGRAGGGGCTGGGGATCCCCTCCCCACCTCCGTACCAGACCCCACCCCACCGGGTGCTGCTCCCCGGGCAYCCTGCGCCCCCAGRGAATTTGGGGTTSRGCTGAAAGCAGCCGGGGTTCCCCAYATSGCCTCGGCTGCCCCAGGGATGTCTCCCTTGGCAGGTGCCAGTGATCACCCAGACTGCCCCTGCCCTGAGCCCCCACATGAGGAGGGGGTGCTGGGGCAAAGCTGGGGGGATCTGGGGCCACAGCAGCTCCCTAAAAACAAAACCCATCAGCACGTTCCCCTCAACCCCCCAGGAGGGACAGCCAAACCCCAAAATCCTCCCCACTCACCTTGGCGAGGGGCAGGACAATGAAGGCACCGCCACCGCCGGACTCCACAATGATGGCCACGAACTTGGGGTTGACGGCGCAGAAGGAGCTGTCACATGTCACCTTGGACACACGGATGTCCTCRTACATCTGGTCTGCCTTCACCGGCTGCCCGAAGACGTGCCGGAACTTGCTCTGGCGCACCACGCGGCGGCTCATGGCTGCGGGGACAGGGTCAGGCCACCACCTCCCCACCCGGACAGGGCTTTTGTCCCCTCAGGTCTCACACTCAGAGGGACTGCTCCTACCCTGGGCACAGCGGGAAGCCTGGGGACACTGAGGTGGCAGAGGATGAGGATGYGGGATGGAGCCTGATGTGGCCCTGACCCCTTGTGCAGGGGTGTGGGGGTGCTGCAGGTGCTGGGGACAGTCAGCTGGTGGCCAGAGCCACCTGACACTGGGCAGGGACACGGCCAGGCCATGATGCACGGCTGTGCTATGTCCCACAACTGTGCCATGTCCCACAACTGTGCCATGTCCCACAGTTGTGTCATGTCTCACATTTGTGCCATATCCCATAGCTGCGCTGTACCCCTCAGCTGTGTCATATCCCATAGTTCTGCTGTATCCCATAGCTGTGCCATATCCCATAGCTGTGCCATATCCCATAGCTGTGCCATGTCCCACAACTGTGCCATGTCCCACAGCTGTGCCATGTCTCACATTTGTGCCATATCCCATAGCTGTGCTGTACCCCTCAGCTGTGTCATATCCCATAGCTGTGCTGTATCCCATAGCTGTGCTGTATCCCATAGCCGTGCCATATCCCATAGCTGTGCCATGCCCCACAGCTGTGTCATATCCCATAGCTGTGCTGTATCCCATAGCCGTGCCATATCCCATAGCTGTGCCATGCCCCACAGCTGTACCATATCCCATAGCTGTGCTGTATCCCATAGCTGTGCCATGCCCCATAGCTGTGCCATATCCCATAGCCGTGCTGTACCCCTCAGCTGTGCCGTATCCCATAGCTGTGCCATACTCTATCCTGTGCCGTATCCCATAGCTGTGCCATGCCCCATAGCTGTGCCACACTCTATCCTGTGCCGTATCCCATAGTTGTGCCATGCCCTGTGGCTGGCACTGGGGTTGGCACATGAGCTGCTGTAGGGCTGAGGGGACTTTGGGGTGGACATAAAGGTGCCAGGTGAGTTTGTGCACCGGCTCACAGTCTGTCCCCTTGTCTGTCCTGCATCAGGGCCTGAGGTTTCCTGGCCTGACCCAGCACCCGGGAGGATGCCTGTGCCTCCAGAGCTGCCTGCTGGTGGCTCACAGCTCCCTCCGTGGGTCCCTGTCCCCTGGCACGGATCCCTGCCGCCCACTCTGCACCTCCAGCCGGGTCAGGGCTGGCACAGACACAGCCCCACGGACACATTGGGGTGTGGGGGAACCCCACCGTGGCCCCAGTGGGATCTCCAGCCCTCAGCCACAGCCGGGCATGATGCCCACTGCCACCCACCCCTGTCCCCAGCCTGTGCTGCTCCTGGGAGCTGCCCGGGGGGACTGAGACACTCGGGGACACCAAACCCTTGCAGCTGGGGCTCGGCAGCACCCATGGGCCACTCGCTACCCCGGGGACTCCCTGCGCTCTTTTGGGTCTGCAGCCATTGCCAGGGGCCACATCCAGCCACCAAACCATGGCCAGAGGGCCAGGCACCGCTGTCCCCAGCCTGTGGGGCCGGTGAGGGCAGAGGCAGAAGAGCTGCTCCTCCTTGTCCAGCCGCCGGTTTTTGGATGGGGTACACGCAGTGCCCTGCCCAGCCACATCTGCCCAGTCCCCGAGCGTCCCCGGAGTGCTCCCGGCACTTCAGCATCATCCCTGGCCTGGCTGAGCGGGTCGAGCTGGGCACTAAGGGGCCCGRAGCCCGGCTGCCAAGCAGGGCTGGACACCGCTGGTGTCGCCCCCCTGCTCTGGAGCGCGGTCCCCAGCCCTGGGGAGGAGCGAGGGGGCTCCGTGGGGACGCTGTCCCAGCATCCCAGCCCTTGCCAGCGGGAGCAGTCTGGGGAGTCAGCATGCAGGGAAGGAGAGAACGGCCTGGCAGGGCGCCGGCAGGGTGTGGGGTGCAGGTGGGGGACAGGGGCGGTGCAGGTGGAGTTGAGCAGGGTGCAGGCAGCGTGTAGGGCGCAGGGCAGGAGCAGGTGGGGCTGAACGGGGTGCAGGTGTGGGGTGCGGGCACGAGGGCGGGGTGGGGCGCGGGCAGGGTGCGAGTGGGGTGGGATGGGGCGCCGCAGAGAGAGGTGGGTGCAGGTGGGGTGCGGGCGGGACGCAGGCAGGGTGCGGGCAGGATCCGGGCAGGACAGCCCCGCGCCCCGCTCCCCGGCCGTGCCATTACGTTGCCACAATTGAATCCGCAGCGACTGCTCGGGAACGACCAGAGGTCACTGTCCAAATATAGCCATCTCCGCCGGCGGGCGGCGAGGGCCCGGGGCCCGGGGGGCTCAG